GAGAGCGTGACAAGTTGCTTAAAGGACCACTCTAGGCACCCAGACCACTTCAGCTTAATGAAGTGGTCTGGGTGCCAGGTCCCTCTAGGATTAACCCCCTTTTTTTATAAACATAGCAGTTTCAGAGAAATTGCTATGTTTATAAATGGGTTAATCCAGCCTCCAAATCCTCTAGTGGCTGTCTCATTGACAGCCGCTAGAGGCGCTTGCGTGCTTCTCACTGTGAAAATCACAGTGAGAACACGCAAGCGTCCATAGGAAAGCATTGTAAATGCTTTCCTATGAGACCGGCTGAATGCGCGCGCAGCTCCTGCCGCGCATGCGCATTTAGCCGAAGAGGAGGATCGGAGGCGGAGAGGAGGAGGAGAGCTCCCCGCCCGGCGCTGGAAAAAAAGGTAAGTTTTAACCCTTTCCTCTCCCCTGACCCGGCAGGAGTGGGACCCTGAGGGTGGGGGCACCCTCAGGGCACTATAGTGCCAGGAAAACGAGTATGTTTTCCTGGCACTATAGTGGTCCTTTAAGTTACAGGATTTACAGGAGCCTTCCCCCCTATGTGCAGCCCAGGCCCCAAGAGTATTCCCACACAGTCCAGGCTTACCCAGAACCCTATTTGCATGGCCTTTAGCATGGTAGTGGTGAGTTCAGCATGGTTGTCAATAGGGGGTATGAATGCTCTCCCTGTGTATGGTCTGCTCGATCTTCCTCTGAAGGCTGCCAGAGTGCATGGGTGTCACGCTGGTTGGCAGGGTACATGGCTTTGCTTGGTGAGGGACCGGAGAGCTGTGTCCGTCTGCTCATTGCCGCTGGGACTGGGGGTCCCTCTTGCTGGAAGGTTGGGCAGTGGTTTGGTTGCTGTGGGGGGTTTGCTGCATCAGGGGTTCTGTTCCACTGTGCGTTGGTGATCCCTGGCTGTGCCGCCACTTCAGGTCTCCCTCCCTCGCCCGCCATTTTAGTAGCTGGGGCCCCACCAGACCAGGGCGCTGTAGGTCGTGGGGATGGTCTCCTGGAACCGGGATGACCCCCGCCGGTCCAAAGGGGGGGGGGGTAACGGGGCCTTTACCACGTGGCGTTGGAGCTCCGGAGGGAAACCACAGGGCAGGTTAGCAAGGCGGCGGCCGTCCACCCTACCCACCACCCGGGTAGGCCTCATGTGCTGCTTAGCCCTTTCAGGCTTTGTTACGCTTGTTTTCATAGAGGCCTCAGCACTGGCACCCCTTCACCCGCAGGACCATTGCTTCCAGACTGCGGATGGGTGAGTTTGAGGCTTTTCATAGCCATTAACATCGGTGGTCCGCAGGAGCTCGCCTTGGATGCGACCTCTCGGCATGGCGGTCCGGCCCTGCCCCCCCCACTACTTATTTTTTTTAACCCCACTCCTGCCACACATAAGTGAATGTGCAGCATTAAACAAGTGCTACCATGCAGACAGCCGGAATGCAGGCCAGCTGATAATTAACCCATCTTGGCTAATAGTGGGTTTGACAAGTTTTTATTCACTATAGTGAGTATTGTTGGTAATTCAAAGTGAATTTAAATTGACAAAAAGGTGGATCTACTGCTATCAGCAAAAAAGACCCTGTCTCAGACATCTCAACATGCAAAACCTCATTTCAGGGAGGCAACTGCACCCCCCATGCATGCCGCCCGCCCCCCTTCCGTGGGTTTCAGTTACACCATCCAATCCCCGGTGAGGAGCAATTTGCGAGGACATTGAATCCCCTCCATCTCGAAAATGTCTGTAACACACCATTTAAAGAACAGAGGTTGATTGCTGGCCGCACCTGGCCACCCTCTTTAGAACCAGGAAAAAGTTGCTTACGTATGTGCAAGGGGACAGGCGTGTGGGCTCTACTGTCCCTTTGAGGCGTAGATCCTCCAGTCCTGCATTGACCAGGTGTTTGTCGGACCTGGAAATTGGATGGGGAGAACTCAATTGTACAGGGGCCCTAACAAACTGTATATGGTACCCTAAGACTATCTGGAGAACCCAAGCGTCCAAGGTGAAAGCAGATCGAGCCTGAGAAAAATGGGTGAGCGATTTCTCAACAGATAACCGGGAAGAAATGTGAATTAGATGGTGATTCATTGAATGGGCATCTAGAAGGAGCAAATCCTCTAGCCTCTGGAACTCCAAGGTCCACCCCTCTGTGGGAAGAGGGGGATAGAGCCCTTGCGTCCTGGAAAGCCTGAGGAGAAAGAACGGCCATTGAGACGGCCCCTGTAGCGGCTAGCCCTGGCGGAGACCTTTCTGGCATAGACTCTGCGCATGGAGTGATTGCTTTGCAAGTGCAGTGAAGGCACTTACGTCTCTGCCTAGGTCTCCGAAGAGTAGCCCATCAGGGTCCTTACCCATCTCAGTAATAGCTAAATTTGTGAGCTTAGGCTCGATCTTAAACAATCTAGCCTTCAGTCCCTCTATGGAAAGGGAGGTGTTAACATTCCCAGCCTGGTAAAAAGTCAGATGGACACAACCCCACATCAGATATGGATCTACAGGGAGGCTGTCACAAATGGCCGTCTTGGCCAATTCAAATATGTCCCCTCCATCTCTAAATGTCTGTAGCACTCAATTTAAAGAACGGTTGATCGCTGGCCAACTTCCGCCGTGTGCAGATGTCTGGCCAACATTGCGCGCGTATGCACACTATTACAAGCTAGGGTGCGTGCGCCTTGTCTCCGGCTTCTTAAAGGGGAAGTACCATTTTTACCATTGAACTGGCACTCTATTTATATCTATTTAATTACTGCTCTATTAAGTTCCCTAGCCTATCAGCTCTCACTTAGCCCTCTTTATACCTCCCTCTTTCATCACTTCCTTGCCCTGTCATGGTCTTTTGTAGCCCGAGAGTGCGTTCTGTTGGTTTGTCTTTTCTGGTATCTGACTTCGGCTTGTTTCCTGTTTATCCGTCCTTCTGGCATTCTTGACCCTTGGCTTTATTCTTCATTTTTTTCCGTCTCCTATCTGACCATTCTGTTCTCATCTCATTTTTGCACGTTAACTCCGGCCATTCAAAGGACCAGTAATACGTCTGGCTTTGTGTACCTTTTGAGCCCCTTAGTTTGCGTGTTGGGGAGGTTAACCTTGACAAACTGCAAGTAAGATACAATATGGTCGACAGGAACTTTCTTTGCCAACCAGGGATGATGCAGTTCTTCCAGTTCAAAAGCGTATCTCAAGGGATCCATGATAGCTTCCGTATGGGATCCAGGTTTAGAATCGCCTTTTAAAGCCTGTGAAGGGGCTTGGCTAGGATTAGGGAAATTGCCCACGTACTCGGCAGCAGGAGAGCTGTCGTCAGACTCTGAGGCAGATTCCATCAAAGCCTCCTCTTGAAACCCAAATTCAGATTCGGAGTCACTATCAGGTAGTGCTCTGGCACTTTTCCATTTACACGTCTATTCTGCCTGATGCGATAAGGCTCGTTTGCGTTGGTATTAACGCTATCTGCGTTGGTATTAATGCTATCATAGATGGCTTTATGACCATCAGTCTACATGGTTCTGGAGGAAGGTGCCGGCAAGTGGCATGTCTTAGAAATCGCCTTCTTGCCTGTAGCAGTAGTGGGCATAATCTGGAGGTCAGAAGGGTCAGCCCTGGCAGACATGGTTAGCACTTAGAGGGAGTAGGGTGTACCTGCAGCAATGTCTGGCCAACCGATTTGGAAATGTTAAAAAAAAGACCACTCTACATAATTGCATCACATAGGGAAAGGTGAAAGCAGCAGCAACATCCCCAGGGGCAAGGGGGGCATGATCCCTGAGCTCAGGGGAGGCTCATTCCCCACCATCCCTACTGGTAACAGGGGGAACAGGCTTCCAGACTGGGACATGCTGAAGCCAGAAAAGGCATCAGCAGAATATACAACAGGACGATAGAAAAACACCAATGTAGAGGTATATAGAGCAAACACAAACCAGGATGCTGCACAGTACATGGGAGAACACAGTAGGGACCAACAGGCCTGGGTGCAGCACAGCTCACTGGAGCACAGCAGGGACCAACAGGACTGGGTGCAGCACAGCTCACTGGAGCACAGCAGGGACCAACAGGACTTGGTGCAGCACAGCTCACAGGAACTCACAACAGGGACCAACAGGACTAGGTGCAGCACAGCTCACAGGAACTCACAACAGGAACCAACAGGACTGGGTGCAGCACAGCTCACTGGAACTCACAACAGGGACCAACAGGACTGGGTGCAGCACAGCTCACAGGAACTCACAACAGGGACCAACAGGACTGGGTGCAGCACAGCTCACTGGAACTCACAGCAGGGACCAACAGGACTGGGTGCAGCACAGCTCACTGGAACTCACAACAGGGACGAACCAGTGTGCGTGCAGCACAGCTCACTGGAACTCACAACGGGGACCAACAGGACTGGGTGCAGCACAGCTCACAGGAACTCACAACAGGGACCAACAGGACTGGGTGCAGCACAGCTCACAGGAACTCACAACAGGGACCAACAGGACTGGTGCAGCACAGCTCATTGGAACACATAGCAGGGACCAACCAGCCTGGATACAGCACAGCATGTGGGAGCACCCAGCAGATACACACAGGCCTGGATACAGCACATCTCATAGGAGCACACAGCAGTCACACAGGCCAGAAACCACACAACCAGGAGGGATTATGACCTAGTGAGAAAAAGGCTAAAAAAAACCTTAAGGGGAAAAACTGTAGTTGTAAAATGTACAGGGAAAAATATTAAAGGCCCAGAAGGGCACAAGACATGAAAGGTGAAAGGGACAATGCATATAAATTATATACATATATAAAACACAAGGGAGGTAAACTGTACTTAAAGGACCACTATAGGCACCCAGACCACTTCAGCTTAATGAAGTGATCTGGGTGCCAGGTCCAGCTAGGGTTAACCCTTTTTTTTATCAACATAGTTTCAGAGAAACTGCTATGTTTATGTTAGGGTAAATCATAGGCATGCGCAGCCTATTGCATTAGGGTGTGCACCCTAAAGCACAAACACACGCCGCATGTATATGTGTGTGTGTGTGTGTGTATATATATATATATATATATATACACACACACACACACACACACATACATACACTGCTATGTGTGCTGTGAGGGTGCTGTGTGAGGGTGCTGTGTGTGCTATTAGTGTGATGTGTGGGTGAGGGTGTTTGTGTGTTTGTGACGGTGCTGTGTGTGTGTGTGTTTGTCCTGTGAGGGTGCTGTGTGTGGGAGAGTGCTGTTTGTGAGTGTCGTGTATTTGTGAGGGTGCTGTGTGTGTGTGTTTGTGAGGGTGCTGTTAGTGTGCTTTGTGTGTGTGAGCGTGCTGTGTGTGAGCTGTATGTGTGTAGGTGCTGTGGGTGCTGTATGTGTGTGTGTGTGCTGTATGTTTGGAGGGATTGTGGAGGTGGGGGCATATTAGTAAATATCCCCCCTCCCTTCTGACCTTAAGTAGGGAGGGGGGATCCTTGCTGCCATGTGCCATCCCTGGTGGTCCAGTGGAGAGTGAACTCTAGCCTGTGGGGCTAGAGTTAACTCGCGCGAGATCTGAGCGTTGCCGCGGCAACGCTCAGATATTGCGAGAGGAACCTGGCGGAGCTGCTGTCTATAGCTCCCTGGGTCCTCACCTGCCTCCCTCCATGCTGCTGTGGGCCGGTGAGGTAGATCTTTGGTCTCCCCGCCAGCCCATGGAGGCTTAGAGCAGAGCCGGCGCTCAGATAGCGCCGGCTCTGCGTGAGCCGACAGGGGAGATCAGGAGATGTCCCCTGCCGGCAGGGTACAAGTCCTGTGGAATAATGTGTGGGAACTCTCCCAAGATTCCCACCCCCCCAAAAAAATAATATACACTCGTGTGTGTGTGTGTGTGTGTATATATATATATACACATACACTCACAGACACACACATACATTCACAGACACACACACACATTCACAGACACACATACATTCACAGACACACACTCACACATACAGACACACTCACACATACAGACACACATACACACACACACACACACATACAAAGACACACACATACAGACACACACACATACAAATTATTATTTTTTAATAAAAAATTGTCCACCCAGCCTCCCTACCTGGAGTGCTGGCGTGGACTTGTCCCTGGGGTCCAGTGGGTCGGGCGCCTGTCTCCATCTCAGCCGCGGCAAGGGAGCTGTGTGCTCTCTGCTTCCTCTCGCAGCGCGGGCTGTCTACAGTAGCTGGGAGCCGGAATATGATGTCATATTCCGGCTCCCGGCATCAGCAAACGGCGCGCAGCGAGAGGAAGCAAAGAGCACACAGCTCCCTCGCCGCGGCTGAGATGGAGACGGGGGGGGGATCCATCACCTCTTGCCCACCCCCCATGACAGGGCCAACACGGGGGAGGAAGGGGGGCTTTTGGGGGCGTTGAGTGCCTGCAGGAACAGTGTTCCTGATTAAAAAAAAGTGCAGGAACGCTAGGCGTGCCGCGGGGATTAGGGTGTGCCCAGGCACACCCGGCACACCCCGTGTGCACACATATGGGGTAAATCCAGCCTCTAGCGGCTGTCTCTTGACAGCCGCTAGAGGCGCTTGCGTGCTTCTCACTGTGAAAATCACAGTGAGAAGACGCCAGCGTCCATGGGAAAGCATTGTGAATGCTTTCCTATGAGACTGGCTGAATGCGCGTGCAGCTCCTGCCGCGCATGCGCATTCAGCCGGAGAGGATGAGGAGAGCTCCCCGCCCGGCACTGGAGAAAGAGGTAAGTTTAACCCCTTCCTCCCTCAGCGCCACGGGAGTGGGACCCTGAGGGTGGGGGCACCCTCAGGGCATTATAGTGTCAGGAAAACAAGTATGTTTTCCTGGAACTATAGTGGTCCTTTAATTTGCATCCAAGGGAGCAGCAAAGAAAGAGGAGGTTGAGGGGTGTGATCCTGGATTATAGGGATGGCTGTTTATGAGGGGGTGGAGTTTGGGAGGTCTCATTTTAGCATCATTTCTTATTAGTTGTTCTTTGTTGCTGTATATTAATTAAAGAAAGAGATATGCACAATACCCGCCTCTGTGTCTTGAGATAAAATCCTTCCTGGGTGACGCTCCTTTAATTACCATTGCCCTCAGTTCCCAAAACCTCCTAAACCCAGCTCACTCTTTCTCCTTCCTTGGAGAGGAGGAGACATACAAAACATCTTGGGGAGAACAGAAATGAAATGGGTGTATGAGCTTAAGACCCTTACACCCCATGGTCTAAACTCAGATTTTGATTTGTTTAATTTTATTTGATATTATGTGATATTTTATCTTGCTCCTCTTTATGGGTTACTTAGTCCCTATGCCTTAATATACATTTATATATTTTTATGTTTTATTATGTCTTAGATTATTTTTTTTTATAGGTTCTTTTCTTATATACATGCTTTTTTTTATCCATATGAGTTTTATGCATCTTTGTTTTTAATAGCATCTCCAATATTGTCATTCTGCTCATCATTTGTTATTGACTTTTCTAAATATGAATTTTAAATTTTTATTTATTTATTTATTATTACATTTTTTAACTTATGTATTACTCCCCCCCTAGATCTGTTTGCCTCTTAATATAGGCATTTGTCCCACCAACAATTTTACCACATGACAGGAGGCTTCATATTTGCATATCTTTCTTTACTGAAAACTCCAGCAGCATAGAAACATAACAACCAATCAGAAAAAAGTTATGATGCCCATAAAAGGCCCTGTCTATGACATCACTTCCTCTTTCTTTGCTGCTCCAGCCATACATCAGGTCAGAGTATTTTACCTCTCTGGTAGATTCTTAATTTACACTGTTTTTTGATTGTCATACCACTATATATTACTCTATTTATTGCTAACACCTGCTACCTTGGCCCCCCTTATTCCTGTCCCTTCACTGTATCCCTCTGTTTTTTCCCCCTTTTTATTTCCACCTTACTGCCTGGTATCCGCGGGCGCAACGACTACCCGTGTCGCGCTCGCCTCGCGGACCGGCCCTTTCACTTACACAGGGGACTGTATGGGGATGGGTGGAGGGAGGCTGGGGTCAGCGTTTGTGTTGCATTTATCCCCTTTGTTTTGCACCGCGCGACCGCGATCCGCGGCGCACCTTCACATGTGGGCGGCGGCCATCTTGGATCTCGCGGCTCGCGAGATACCCGACGGCCGCCTTCCCTGCTCGCTCGGCGGATCGGGAACTCACCTGACCGCCAGGCTCCACAAGTGTATGCTCTCCCGAGTGAACAATGGGAGAGTGCAAGCTGGATTTCAGTTTTTTCTCCATGTATTCTTTCTATGTATTTTGCCACAGTGCCTGCCAACAGTGTCTGCCAAACAAATACTTACATGCAGGCATTAAAGGAGATTATGTCTTTGTACCTTACTCAGGGTCTATACCCTATACAGGGTCATACCATATTACTATACCCTGCACAGGGTCATACTATATTACTATACCCTACAGGAATCACCCGATCACCGCGCCCTGCATCTGGATTAACCCCTTCAGGGGTCCCCCTCTCTGGGCACATTCATTTATTGATACAATTATTATTTTTTATTCTCATGGATATATCTCTCATGGTGCCTTACACTGGATGATTATATGTTGAGCAGGCACACAATCTATTTATTATTGTGAAGCCATACAATATCACAGTCGTTATACAAAACATATACTGTACCTATAACAAGATCAACTATATCACTGTACCCTACGAAGGGCATATTGTGTTACTGTACCCTACAAAGGGCATATTATATTATATTATTGTACCCTACAGAGGGTCATATTATTACTGTACCTGACGGTGCAAATTTATGTGGGTGTCCTCTGGGTATTTTTTCATGGCACACCACCTGGGGTGACCCCCCAGATATGCATGCAAGGTCACTGACAGACCATTACCTTTGATGTGGGTGTCCTCTGGGTTACCATGGTACACCACCCGGGGTGAACCCCGATTATATGCACGGAGGCCTATGCCTCAACTTTACCACTGATTACTACAGACATATATGGATGTTTAACCCCTTAAGGACCAAACTTTTGGAATAAAAGGGAATCATGACATGTCACACATGTCATGTGTCCTTAAGGGGTTAAACACTGCCTGTCAGTTTTACATTAAAGCAACAGTACCATGCCGGATGCGATTTGACGGCAGGATCACTAAGAAAACTGAGTGTATTGCGGTGTACCCTTCACAGGGATACATATATGTATATTTACTGTGCCTAGTGTACATATTGAACGTGGGTGTCCTCTGGGTAATTTTTCATGGCACACCACCTGGGATGACCCCCAGATATGCATGCAATGCTTGTAAGGTGCCAATAATTATAATATGGGTGTCCTCTGGGTTACCATGGCACACCACCTGGGATGAACCCAGCCTAATAGAGATGGGTCCTGCGGCTGCGGACCTTATGGAGACAGGCCCCATGCGCCTATATAATAAGCCTGTATAGTTAAAAACCGTGCATACAGCTCTGGCGTACATTTGTGGTGAACCCGGCTAGCCAGACCGACACCACTACCAGTCAGTCGCGCCTGCACCACGGCTCTCAGTAGCCAGATTAAACTAATAGAGGTGACCCCTCTACACTTGGCACGAGTATTCATACTCTCAGACATACTAAAGCAGGCAATTCAAAACGTTTTACCTGGGTGATGACCCTCACACTATCTCCCAACAGGACGGGAACGAGTCATGGTGGACACTCTCAACGTTCCCAAGATTTCTAGGCAATGATAAACGCCACAGTAACGGCCTCAGTGGAGAGGGTTCTGTTATGAACTCTACCCCACACCGCTTGATGGGGACCTCAGGCCCACAAGCCTTCAAGTCAAAACGGCAAGGGAAGGGCTCCAGCCCCCCTGCCACTAAGGTCAAGGGCAAGACGCCCATCGAACAGACCAAATAGGCGGAGCACCGGGAATCCAAACCCCGTCCGCCACAATCTTCCGACAAAGAAGACTATTACCCACCACGTACTTTGGACATGGTAGATGAGCGACACGAAGACAGCTCACCGTCTGAGGAAATGGAACGGCAAGACCTTCCCCACACTTCCTCGAAGTACGTTAGGGAAACCTTACTCTGTGACGGCGGCTGAGGCAGAGATAACTGTAGCGGCACTAAACCAGAGTAGCCGAACGTTCCTGGACGAACACTATTGGCTGCGCAACCCTCGGGGGATGGAAGGATGCGCACGCCTCAAGACCGAGTTACCCCAGGGTACACAACTCAACCCTACCACCTCCAAAGAATGGTCTCAATGCTCGATATGCCTCCTGGGCAACGTAAATGACGCACTATGCGCCGACAGACGCAAATCTGTACTGGGCCGCATCGACAACACACTATTGGACTTAGGAACGACAAGAATTCGTCCCAAAAGCACAAGGCCTACTATTCGACGTAGTGTTCATTGCAGTACTCAAGAAACACGTGAATTTATTCACCACACTAAATTAATACCCAGACCTCGCTAAAACAAGTCTTCCACAACCCTACGGGGAAAGGTGTTTCTGGGAGGACTGGTCGGTAGCTGAACCGAGCCACCAGCCGCTTCTGGGCGACAGGTTCCAGATCGTATACACAGTCCTCATATTTCTCCCATCTACTACACAAAGGAACCCATCCGCTTCATCTACTAGTGTGTCAACCTACATAACTAACTGTTTCCAATATTATGACCGGCAACCTGTCTCTGTTTTACAGAATTGGGAGACGACTACCAAAGTCACCTGGGTTCTCCAGACAGTACAAGGCTATGTCATAGAGTTTTATCACAGCCGTGCAGGTCGCCCCTTCACCTCCATTACGCACGCTGGCGGAACAGGAACGCCTCGTGGACAAGAAAATCTGCACCCTCTTCAGGAGGGGCGCAATTCAACATGCACCGGAGGGGAAGGCTTCCCCAGCAAATTTTTCCTGGTCAAGAAGAAGCCAGGAGACTACATCAATGGAACTCCTACATGGTATACAAATGCTGCAAGATGGATGAAATTCGTCTTCTACAAGACCTCCTAGGCGATAACGACTGGTTTACACATCTGGACCTCAAGGACGCACGCTTGTCAGTACCCGTTGCCCTGGACTGCCGAAGTTTTCCTCCGATTCCAATGGTGAGGACAAACACGGCAGTTTACGACTCCGTGGTGCTCGCGAACCTACTGTAACCAGTGAGGGCACACATCCGTAAATTTGGGCGTGCGATGCCTCGTATACCTGGAAGACTTGCTGATTCTTTACGAATCCAGGCTACGTTTGCAGACAAATTTGTCGTTCACTTTCGGGACTCCATGGGTTTTTTGTTGTACACAGACAAAGATCGCTTCTCCATCTGAATCGGGCCAGTTCCTCGGTTTCGACATCGGCTTGGAGAACTACATTCCGCGTCCGTCTACGGCAAAGAGCGCCTCTATAAGGATAGCTGTCGGATTGTGGGATTCCTCTCCTCCTCTCCTCCTCCATACAAGCGTTATTCTCTGGTCCACTACGACTGATGGTGAGATACGTACGCACCGGTCACTCATACGATCACTGGATCCCACTGTCAGCGGAAGTGAGGATGGAATTTCGATGGTGATTACTTCACACACAAACTTGGATTGGCAAAACGATCTTTGACTCTTCCTTCGGATACGGGGCGATGGATGAACCCCTGCAAACGCGACCCAGCCGTTCTCTACAATAGCAAGGGTGCTTCGATACACACACACACCCACAAGATATCGCTCCTGCTCATGACACCCCTCGGGCAGGGCCAACCGTGATTTCCCGGATCGCCTGGAGATGTCTCGCGAAGACCCTCTACTACTCCCTACCTTCCCTCTACTTCTGACGGGACCTCGAGGGGAAGCCCACTCCCTTGTCGTGGAAGGACAACTGGCACTAGTTGCCTGGACGGCTCCTGGTCAGTTCACGACCTATTGCATCAACTAAGACCTCCTATGGGACTCATAGGCTCCAGGCACCAGGAAAGGCTATATTTCTGCCTGGTCGGCCTGGAGTGATTGGTGTATGGAAAGGGATTCCGATCCCTTTACCGCACCTGTCCCACTGATCCTCAACTATCTGTCACACCTGGTCTCGTTGGGTCAGTCATATCGATCCCTCAACGTGATCAGATCCGCCATATCGGCGGCGCACGGTCCGGTACAGGGCAGACCAGTAGGTCAAGATACACTGGTTTGTCGACTACTGCGGGGTGCCGAATTGTCGAGATCCCTGCACCCAAATACTCACGCCTCTGGCAGGTGGATGTGGTGCTGAGATTCCTTAGGGAATGGCTGGACAATCCTTGTTTGTCACTGAAGCAACTTTCAGCCAAACTAGCCCTCTTATTATGCCTCGCCTCATTTAGACGGTGGCGGACGTTAGGGCTTGCGATATGGATGGTTTCTCTCTCACACCAGACGGGGTTACCTTTACCATGTCGAGACGAACTAAGTCTGATTCGTCTTCAGTGTCATACCCATGCTTTGTGTCAGACGCCACACTATGCGTGGTCAGAACGCTAATGGGGTACACCAATATCTCTACCCCCTTCGAACTCATTCGACGGATCACCTTCTGACTTCTTACGTGAACCCTCATGGACCGGTGTCTACCGCAACACTGGCCAGATGGGTCCGCTGGTTTTTGTCTTTAGCGTCGAATCTTGTTTCGGAGCCCACTCGGTCACGGGAGCGGCCGCCTCACAAACCTTTTCGGCCGACGCTTCCCTAGCCGACATTATACGCTGCGCGGACTGAGCGCGAGAGAGTACGTTTAGAACATTCTATTTTCGGCAAACATCTCATGCTTCCTTCACATTGGTCAATTCAAGCTTTAAAAATGCAAATATGAAGCCTCCTGTCATGTGGTAAAATTGAAGATTATATTAGCTTTAGTGTACTAATAATCTTAATTTTAGTAATGACAGAAGGCGAATATTTCCCACCCTATAGGATCCCTCCCATGTTTCTCGTGTTGAACAGAATATGTCCTTTATGTTCAGGAAGGTAAGTACGTATGGTTTGTATGTTTGCTACTTAGACCTGTATCTTGTGGGTCTTGTATTGGCTGTATATTAGACATGAACCTTGCATTATGTTGTGTTTATAAATTCTTAAATATCATTGCGTTAGAATAAATATATATTGATATGTTTCACATTCTAATGTTCGTTGGTATATCAGATGCTTAATGCTTATTGTATGCGGACAAGTTATCACGCCAGATACCTTTCACCTTTTTCTTTTTCTTGCAGCGTGAACGTCTTCTCATCGAGACAAAGATTCACCTTCCATACCTCTGCATC